GTGGATCTGTGTTTGATTACTCTGCCTGGCTTTCTCAAGGACCAGGATGTGACACAAAAATCTGAATTATGGAACTGAAAGTGAAAGTAGTCAAACTGAGTTTTTAATAAAACAAAATACAGTTTCAAAGAAAATTAATTCAGATACAAAACTTTAAATTCAGTTTAGTAAAATTTATTTTCAAACCAATGAATTCAGTTTCAAATTAAAAACATTCAGATTCACTTCCTGTTGGCACAAGATTGATCCTGTACTTATGGACCTAAAGACCGACCCAGAGTTCTGGTTCTGTTCAGGTAAAACCATCAGGAACTTCACGATTTTTCAATATTTTATTGAAACAAAGAGCAGACGGTTGCCATGACGACASAGACCCTTGGTAGCGCCGACCCGGATCAGATGGTCCGATAAAAAAACAGTAAAAACAGGTCCTGGTCCAGGTCTACCTCAGGGCCAGCGTGTGCACCTGGTAGATCTCCTTGGGTAAGTTCATCTGCTGCTCCTCGTGGACGATCCGGAGCCCGGCCCGGCCCACCAGGCTCCGGACGATCCCCAGGTCCCGGCACACGCTGCTGTCCACCTGGTCCGGGACCACGCCCTCGTAGGACACGTTGTCCTTGATGACCACGAGGCCGCCGGGCCTCAGGGCGCTCCCACAGCGCCGCAGGAAGTCCACCAGGTGGTCGTCTGTCAGGTGACCTGCAGGAGGAACCAGAGACCACTTCAGAGTCCAGACCGTCACAAAGACCCGGACCACCGGGTCCAGTCGTGCTCACACTCACCGATGACCCACTGGATCCAGATGAGGTCGTAGCGTCCCGCCTCGGGGACGAAGTCCTGCAGGCCGCAGCAGATGTAGTTCCCCACCCGCGCCCCCTCGGACCCCAGGTAGGACTTGGCCTTGTCCAGGAACTCCTGGGTCACATCCACCAGGTCCACGGTCTGGAACAGGGGCAGCAGCAGACGCTTGGTGATCCTGCCGATCCCGGCTCCACAGTCCAGAGCGCAGCTGGTCCCGGTCTTCCCCTCCCCGTCCTTCAGAGGACAGAAACCAGAGCTCAGGGGGACAGGGGGGACAAGAGACAGCAGAGAGACAAAAACTGAGTCCTCACGCCCAGGAACTTCTTCAGGAAGGCTCTGGACCCGCTGATGTCGATGCTGGAGATGCTGCCGTAGCCCCCCAGCATCCCGTCCACCGTGGGGGGGACCTCCCTCCAGTAGTCCTCAGCGTTRGAGTAGAAGCTGGCCTCGTCCTCCAGCATGTCCCCCATCCTGCCGGGACACACAGACCACACGTGTCCTGGACCAAACAGTCTGAGCTGAGACCGCTTCTGGTTCTGGACCTGAGACACCAGGGAACTTCAAGGTCCGCCCACTGACGGTAACCATGGTAACCAGGTCATCGGGGTCATGATGGCGGCTCAGCTGTTCCACACCTGTTAGCTGAGTTCAGACCATCACTGACAGGCAGATACATCCCATAATAACACAAACACATCCCAGAATAACACAAACACATCCCAGAATAACACACACGGTCAGAACCTGCAACACGTCATAAAATAACTTATAAAATAAGAGACATTAAACCAGCTGCTGTCACTTCCTGTTTAAACGGACCTGTAAACATGTTAGCTTAGCCTGTTAGCCTCCGCTAGCTGTGAACCGTCTGCCTGTGGTTCTGTTGAACAGACTGTAACTCTTTAACTCACCTGGATCAGTGGTTCTGAACAACGAGTCCTCTCCTTCCCGGCGCCTTCAGTCACTTTTCTATTTGAGGCCATCGCCGCCGCACGCGCCTCACGTCATTTCCTTATTTGGGTTTGAGGCGAACCGGAAGCGGCAGCGCCCCCTCCTGGATCAAACTCTGTATTACATCAACACTGCTGACAGCTTTAAAAACTAAATATTAACTTTACTATCGAACAAGCTTTTAATAGATTATTATTATTATTATTATTATTATTATTAT